CTACACAAGGTGCAGGGCACTATAGAACCAGGCCCTATGCCTGTAGTAGTGCTGAACTTTTGAGTAACCTGTGGATAATAAAGTTCCTTCCTTATTACACAATGTAAATAATATACAGTATTTTGTGATATATCTGGAACATGAAATGCTCTTAATTTTCTGGTCATCCCTAACTGCCTTTAAGAATAGAGCACAGCTAGTTCACTGTTTACATGCAGAGCACAGTTTCACCCATGTGGGTCTTTGGCAGCTGTACAGGCAAATAACCAGCTCATTTCCATTTTCTGAAATGAGGAAGATGCTCTCTAGGGTGACTAGAACAGAATTGTAGCATAATGCTGAACACAAACTATACCTAGCAGGAGAGAATACTGACTATTGCTTCATTAAATGTGTTACTTGGGGTTTACAAGCAAGAAAGTTCCAGGCCAGCTTCAAAAAGACAAATTGCAAAGCTAAATTGTCTAATTTACTGAGTGGGTTCTGTGAAATATTAACATGCTTATATTATACTGGAGGTTTGGAGAAGAGGGAACTTCTTGCGATTGAAGATTTTGGTTGCATTTGGTATCCTCCTCAATCAAAATGGAATAAACCCAACTACTTCACCAGTTCTCTTATTTTCATCCAGTTGCATAACTGGAATATAAGAATTGCCATAGCAGACCAGATCAGTGGTCCATCCAGTCAAAATGTTTCAGAGGATAGCGCAAGAAACCTCGCAGTGGACAATTATCGAATAACCTGACCATAGAGAAAGGGTACGTCTATACTTACCTCCAGGTCCAGCGGTAAGCAATCGATCTTCTGGGTTCGATTTATCACGTCTTGTCTAGACGTGATAAATCGATCCCGGAAGTGCTCGCCGTCAATGCCGGTACTCCTGCTCCGCGAGAGGAGTACGCGGAGTCGACGGGGGAGCCTGCCTGCCGCGTCTGGACCCGCGGTAAATTCGAACTACGGTACTTCGACTTCAGCTACGTTATTCACGTAGCTGAAGTTGCGTATCTTAGTTCGAATGGGGGGTTAGTGTGGACCAGGCCAAAGTTTCTTCCTAATCACCATCTATTAGTGACTAATTTATGCTCTAAAGTATGAGGGTTTATATCCCTTCTAAAAATAAAATGATTTTATCTAATGTAACTGTGCATGTTCTCATTAACCAAATAAACATCTAATCAGTTTTCAAATCCTACTCTTGGCTTAAATTATATCCTGAAGTCAAGTCAAGTGATGTTGCCTGTACTCAGCAATTCTGAACATCAGGTCCTAAGTGTCTCAGGCTGGGGCACCCAAAATCAGTGGCCACTTTTGAAAATTTGGCAGCGTAGTTTGTAAACCATTTTCAAATGCGGAATGGAAAGCACTCTAGCAGCATAAAATATTCTATATAATTTTTCATTTCAAGTTTGGGAGTGGGGGGGTGTGGGCTCTGGGAGGAAGTTTGGGTGCGGGCTCTGGGCTGGGTAGGGGGTTAGGGTGTGGGAGGGGGTGAGGGGGGTGGGCTCTGGAGAGAAAGCTTGGGTGCAGGCTCTGGGCTGGGGCAAGGGGATTGGGATATGGGGTGGGGCAGAGGGGTGGTGCTTACCTCGGGTGGTGCAGCTCCCAAAGCGACCAGCACACACACCCCTCCGGCAGCGGCTCCTAGGCAGAGGGACCAGGGGGTCTCCGTGCGCCGCTGCCCACAGGTGCCACCCCGCAGCTCCCATTGGCTGCAGTTCCCGGACAATGGGAGCTGCGGAGTCGACGCTCGGGGTGGGGGCAGCACACAGAGACACACAATCTCCCCCCAGGGGCCGCAGGGACATGCCAGCTGCTTCCAGGAGCGAAGCAGCGCGGAGGGAGGCAGAGCAGGCAGGGATAGTGCTAGCTGTTGCATATTGGGACCTCCATTGGTCAGCCGAATTCTGACCTTGTCAAGTATTATCTGGCAACAATTCTTCACTGAGTCCTCCATCCAGACACACTTCCCTTGTTCTGAGCCAGCTGCTCTCTTGAAGCCAGGTCTCCTACTCTCTCCACGTATAGCTTGAGACTGAGAGTCTCAAGGGTTTGGGGCATCCTTTAATGGACTGAGCTAAAGGGTTGTAGACAGCAGGCAGTGCAGTAACAGCTGTAATAGGAACAACTGATAAGTCACTTGAGCATGCAGTGATACATGGCCAGAGGGGGATGAGGAGAAAATGCATTACAGGGAGACGGATCAAATCTCTATCCAAGTGGGAACAAGGACAAATGGAAGAGATTTCTATTCCCTATCTTCTCCCAGAAGATGGGAAGAAGAGGGTGGATAGTGAATAGGCCAGCAACAACAGCTGTCCTGCAGGCTGCCAGCACCTCTGCCACTGGGTGAATACTGAAGGACACCCCCACTTCCCCATGCACTATCGGGTCAAATATTACACCAGTGGTCCACAAACATGTTGGATAAAGATTGCCAGGGAAATGAGAAATTAAATACCACTGTACTTTCCAATAGTTCTTTCAAGAGAACTCACCCCTCTTCATGACCCCCCAACATTCAGCACTGCAGAGACATTCCCTTGCAGGAGGGGGGCGGAACGAAAATTTGAAAAGGGTGTGTTTGCATATGAGTCACCAAATGCAGGGGCTAAAAAAAAAAGTGACGTTTCATTTATTTGCTGCAATCATAACAAGGTAGAAATGAAATTATCTCCTTAAACCATTTCAATGTTAAGTGGCCAAATAAATCAACTAAATTAATTGGAGACTGGTTTGGGGGAACAAGATAAATGTCAGATGGCTAAATCTTGACAAGGTTTCTCTGCAGAATAAATCAAACTTCCCTGCAGATTGAGCAATATAGTTGGCAGAAATGCATCCGCAGTAGTACATAGTACTGTAGCACTAGTTTGTCCATATGATAATATCAAGTTGTGATGTGCAAAGAACAGGAAGGCAGGAATAAGATTAAACTGAAGAGGGCTAACAGTAAGTGGACTTCTACAATAAATTATCTGAATGGGAAAAGATCCCGCTCTCCTGGTCATGCAGTTAAATTCTCTCAAACTTACTTATGTGTTCTCTTTCTATCTTGCCTCTCCACTTATAATAAATTGGAAGCCACCTAGGACCTGACTATTGTCACTATGCAGCACACTATGGAGACAGACAGACAGACACGCTCACATACACTCTTTATTTGTATTGTGGTAGCACCTAGGAGATTCAGGCTAGGTCTACACTACCCGCCTGAATCGGCGGGTAGAAATCGATCTCTCGGGGATCGAATTATCGCGTCTCGTTGGGACGCGACAATCGATCCCCGAATCGACGCTCTTACTCCACCAGTGGAGGTGGGAGTAAGCGCCGTTGATGGGGAGCCGCGGAGGTCGATTTTGCCGCCGTCCTCACAGTGGGGTAAGTCGGCTCCGATACGTCGAATGAATGAATTGACTAGAGAGATTAGCATGCAGGACTATTGTGCTGGGGGGAAAACGTTTAAAATCTAGTTCTATAAATCTGACAAATACTCAATAAAGCAATGTACTGTCTTCATAAAAATGTAAAAACCTGCTATAATGCTAAATATTGAAAGAAACTTGCCTCTCATCCATCTCTGAACTGATTTAATAACTGAGGTGACTAACAGTAGCAGGATTCTCACATGGCTCTGATGGAGGTTTATCATCTCCCTACCTCTAACTACTATTGTTGCTGACACTATCACTGAGAAGGAATTTAGCCTACCTGTTTGTCTGATGGGGGCAAAATATTCAAGATTTTTTTTTAATGATATGGATAATCTTAAACTGTTGCCACTCAGATTGGCAGCTCCTTCTCAGACTTGACTATTAACATGTCTTCAAAGCCTATCTTTTTCTAATGCTTAGCACTAGCACAGCACTTTTATTCCTAGATAGGGTGACTAGATGTCCCAATAAAATCGGGACAGTCCAGATATTTAACCCTTTGTCCCGATCAATGTATGATTGGGACGCCATTTGTCCCGATATTCAGGTAAGGAGGCGAGCGGGAGGGAGGCGCCGACTCTGTGGGTGCTCCAGGGTTGGAGCACCCAAGGGAAAAAATTGCGGCCAAGCTCCCCACTCCTCGCCTCCTTCTCCCCCTCTGCCCTCCAGCACACCACGTCCCCTTTCCTCCCCCCCTCCAGGCTTCCTGATGCCTAACAGCTGTTTGGTGGCACTTAGCGTTTTCCAGGAGGGAGAGGGGAGGAGCAGGAACGCGGCACGCTCAGGGGAGAAGGCGAAGAGGCAGGGGCGGGGACTTGGGGGGAAGGGGGTGCAATGGGGGCGGGGCGAGGGCGGTGCAGGGGCAGAAAGAGGCAGGGGGTGGGTGAGCACCCCCCCCAGCAGAGGGGAAGTCGGCGTCATAGGGGTGAGTGGAGGGTGGGGGACTGAGGAGGGAACCCGCTCTAGCGCCCATCAATCTACTCGATTAGGCCCCAAGGCCACGTCTGCCGCGGGCCCTGCAATTCCAAGACGCGCTGAGCCGACCGGCCGGGCAGGCTCAGGAGCAAACACCCTTCAAGCCTGGTGGGCCGCCTGGTTGCCATAACAACGGGTCACAACCGAGCACTGCGCGTGAGCGTGCAACTAGGCGCCTGCGTCGCACGCACTCACGTCGAGGAAGCAGAGGGAGGCCGACCCGGAAGTGCTTGGCGGCACTTGACTTCCCGGAATCGGAAGTAGCGTTGCAGGTTCCTCAGGCGCTGCGTGCGCGGTAGTGCGCGTTGCCGCCGGGAACTAAGACGTGCGGTGCCTGGCTACCGGTGTCGGTGTATCGCCCTCCAGCACTGGGGCGGCCAGAGCTGCGTCCTTGGCAGGCAGCTCGGCCGGGGGTGGCAGGAGAGCAGCGTCCCCTGGGAGCGGGTTGGGGGTGAGCGGCCATAGGGAAAGTGGGGAGCCCGGGAGGGGGAACCCCCCAGGACAGGCCGGGCGGCAGAGGGGCCCAGGCGGCACGGGACACTCGGTGAAGCCGTGTCCCGCCCGGTCTCTGAGGTGAAGTTTCTGTGAGGGGCTACCCGCCAGGCCGCGCACTGCTCTCAGCCCCGTGGGGCGGGAAAGGGGGGAGCGCGTCCCGCCCCCCTCCCAAAGAGCCCGGGGGGTGGGTGGCGGGGAGATCCCCCATTTTCTCGGGCAGCATTACCCTCAACAAGCGGCTTCAAAGAGTGCTGGCTGTTGGTAGGAGTGTTCCCCTTGCATGGTGAAGGCCTTAGCTTAGTCCAGGCTCAAACTACATACGGTTTGACAGCTGGGTGACCCGGCTTAAAACACACTGGTATTTATTCAGCCCCTCCTCGCCCAGATGAGTAGCATTACAAGTTGACTCCTCTATGTCATGCTTAGGCCATGTTTTTCTTTGCAGAACTGCTACTGCTGCTACTTTACAATCGTTTGGTACATAATAGACCCGCACGGGGGTCTGAAGTGCTGTCAAAATGTCAGATCCTGAAGAGGCTTCTGACACCTTAGCTGAAGTGAACCTCGATGATACCCATAAACCTTTAACTGAAAATTTAGAAAGTGATCCCACCTCAAGCCTGAAAGATATCGTGGTCACTATTGGAGCTACTGTCCCAACTGGCTTTGAGTTGACAGCAGCAGATGAAGTGAAAGAGAAATTAGGATCACAGTCCAGAATAAGCAAGGACCGAGGGAAAATCTATTTTGAAATTTCAGTAGAGAAACTTTCACAGGTTTGCATGTTTTGTTCCTTGGGTAATTTTTCTAGTTCAGAAGTTTATTAGTATTCCTTTCTTACTCTTCAGGCTGGGGCTGGCCTTCTGTCCCCCCTAAAATACACATTTATCCTTGGATGTACAGGCATGTTCTAAATGGTCAATTAGTGATTTTCTGTATATGGATTGAATATTATGAATGCTAACAATTGAGTGTTCATTCTTCAGAGGTAGTGCTGGAGTCATTTCTAATGTTATGATCCTCTTCAATTAATCATATATACTGCTTTTCATCCTTTTTCACCCTTACTAATTCAGTATATTCAGCAAATATTTCACCTACAGCTGAAATACAGCCACCCCTGGACTCAAACATGACTTCCATTAAACTGCAAACTACACAACTTGTAGATTTTTTTTAAAAATATCATAGATATCCTATTATTTCTATTCCCTTGACCGTTGTGACTAAACATGAAATGAATTTTTAAAAATATAAATTTGTCCCCCCCATCATTATCAAAACATTCTAGTATTAAAATCTACCAATTAATATATATTTGAATACAAATTATTTAAAAACCCTTCCCTCCTTTACTTACAGTTCAAGATCTAAGTTAACATTTTTTTTTCTTCCACAACAGTAAATGAAGTCAGAAGCAAGTAACCTGAAACAGTGCAAGGAGTTTTTCTCCCTGTTCTAACTTATGTTTTTATGATGATCACATGTGGTGCTGAAAAGGAGCTATGTGCACACAAACAATAGTAGTGGAAAAAGAATGACAGAAACTAAAAATATGTTGCATTTTTACAATATTAAAGCATCAAATATCCAGCCTCAAAATAGTTGCACTGCTGTACCTTAAGTCTAGATATAACCAGACCAAGTTTTAATTACAGACATTTACATATGGCTACTAACATTACCATTGTTTGTAATTTATTTTAGGTTCATCGTTTAAGATCAGTGGATAATTTATTTGTTGTTGTTCAGGAGTTTACAGATTATCAGTTTAAAGAAACTAAGGTAAGCTGTCTTTGTACCCAGATCTTCAGATAGTTGTGATTATTTTTTAAATAAATGAAAATAAAAAATAAACATTCAGTTCTTCATAAGGAAATTCCTGGATGAGGATTTTTTTTTCCATGTAAGAATAGATTTAAAATTGTTTAGTCTTGGGGGCTGGGATCGTTTTTATTTTGTATGCCATATACTTTCTAGGTTCCTCTTAAATGTTTGTTCAAATGAAAGAACCACCCGGTAGTCTAGCACTATTCCATATTAGTTGCATATTTTGCTCAGGCAAAGTCCAGGATTGGAGTAGATGGGGTGTTGCGGGTCAGATTGAGGTGCATTATCAAAATTGACTATAGACAGTCCTTTAAATAATGACTTCTTAGTCCTTTAAATAATAATAATAATATGCATTCCTTCTCATCACTAAATCTCAAAGTGCTTTACAGAGGGAGGGAAGTCTCATTATCCCCTTTTTACAGATGAGGAAATAGACACGGGGGGGTGAGATGTGACTTACCCCAGGTCACCCAGTAGTATTTCAAAGTTGCCTATAAAATTTGCCAAAACACATTATTGAATATTCTGGTCATCCTGTGATCTTGTATAGGAAGATGCTCTAAAGGATTTGGAGGACCTGGCTAAAAAACTGCCCTGGACTGACCCTTTGAAAGTATGGAAGTTAAATACCAACCTAAAGAAGAGAAAGACAAAACATAAAAAACAAAATCAACAGAATGGTGCAAGCAAAGAAAAGCTGTATGATGATGGAGGAAAGGACAGAGCAAATCAAAAAGATGCTGATAAAGAGTTGCTTGACCACGCACAAAATACCCCAAGCTTGAAATCTGCTGAACAGAACACAGAAAAGACACAGGAAATGATCCTAGCAGATGACCAATCAGATGGCAAAGATGAATTCCCGACTATAACTGGAAATGAAAACCAAGCTGGCGACTGCAAGAAAGGTGAAGTAGAAGCTCAGGTGCTGAAATTCCGTGTTACATGCAATAGAGCAGGTGACAAACATTGTTTTACATCGAATGATGCAGCAAGAGATTTTGGTGGAGCTGTGCAAGATTACTTCCAGTGGAAGGCTGACATGACCAACTTTGATGTCGAGGTACAATGCACCAGTATTTTTCAATAATATTCACACATATTTACACCTATAAATGAGTTGCTGCTTTACTTCAGAGCCTTCATGTATCTTTGCTTAAGCCAATATGTTTAGATGACACTACCGCTCCAGGGGAGAAAGCTGTTTCATAGTAGAAGCAATGACATAAATTTGATTTCTTAGAATAAAATTAATCACAGTTTATAAATACCCACATAGATAACATAAATTTGATAGTGAGCTCTTCAGTCTACCGGGCAAAGGTATAACCAGATCCAATAGCTGGAAGTTGAAGCTAGATAAATTCAGACTGGAAATAAGGTGTAAATTTTTAATAGTGTAATTAACCGTTGTACCAATTTATGAGGATTGTGGTGTATTCTCTATCACTGGCAATTTTTAAATCAAAATTGGATGCTTTTCTAAAAGAGCTACTCTAGTTCAAACAGGAATTAATTCAGGGAAGTCCTATGGCCCGTGTTAGCAGGAGAGCAGTCTGCATGATCACAGTAGTCCTTTCTGGCCTTAGAATCGATGAATCATATGTGCATGAACCAGCTGGACAGGAAAAAATATTCATATCAGGTACTGAGTAGTTAATGTCAACTTGTGGTTTCTCATTATGGGAAGTTGGAGACTTGGAAATTAGGTTCAATCTTAAATGAACATTTTTTGTGTGTGTATGGGGCAGAGTGAGGGAGAGAACTGAAATGAAGCATTTATGTTGGCTCAGTATCCTTGAATACAATTCTCAGTGTTCCCTACTGGTTAGGGTACGCTACTGGGAACCAGAAGAACTGGTTTTTAATTGTTGATTTGCCACTGATACATGGTGACCTTGGGCAAGTCACTTACCCAATATCTGCTTCATAACCTCATTTTATTATTTACTTACTTCAGAGGAGCATTTAGCTTAATGTTGAGTGCTTTGAAATCTTGGATTTAAAAAAAAAACTATGTATGTGCAATAATAATGAGCTTTAGACAGACCCCAAAATATTATTAATGAACTTGAACACTCACATAGCACTTTTCTTCCAAGATCTCAAAACTCTTCATAAACATTACTACTACTTGTAAAGAATCCTGTAAGACTAAAGCACAGTGTAAATATTTAAGTACACTATTTAAAATTTCTGTTACTCCTACATAGTAGTTGTTAACTTTATCCTAGGTTCTCTTGAACATTCACAATAATGAAGTAGTGGTGGGCATTGCATTAACTGAAGAGAGTCTTCACAGAAGAAATATTACACATTTTGGACCCACAACTCTTCGCTCCACCCTTGCTTATGGTATGCTCAGGTCAGTGCAGTCACTTAGTTGTGTATTATTTTTAATTGCCATGTAATGTTGTTCTAGAAACTAAGCTACTTGATTCTTTTCTGAAAAGTCCTTTTTAATTATAAACAAACAGCGTTCAAACAAACATCATGAACATTTTGTAATGATTTATAATCACTATCATTTTGCAGCCCAGGGAAAAAAGTGTGCATTGACCATAGCCTGTGCTTGTAACACTTTGTTAATGGCATCCTTATATGTCACTGTATATAAAGTTAACTAAACATTGTTTCCAAGTGGTTACTAACATTTCCTTACTTTATGGGAATAGTATAATTTGAAGAATTTAAGTAGTTCTCCAGTTTACTTTGTCTGTAGAAACTTTTGCATCTGTTAAAACTTTCCTTTAATATAGTTTCTTCTGTTCTTCAGGCTCTGTGATCCTCAGCCAACTGACATTATAATTGATCCAATGAGTGGAACAGGGGCTATACCAATAGAGGTAATCCTTCTTTTGTTCTTTATTTAAATTAGGAAAGTGGCCTAAACAGTGACGTAACTGAATCCTGTATATTTTAAATGAATCAAATACATGCTGGGTAGCTTACTGATACTCGGCAAGTGAAGCAGCCAAACATCAAAGATCTCCTCAACTTTCAAACTACTACAAATATACTTACTCTTAGTGGCTTCACCTTCCTCATGCAAGCTGCAGAGGGAAGAAACTAAATCCCAGAGTATTATCAGGTCATTGAAAATGCATGATAAATGAAATGGATATATTACAAGGAATATTGAAGCTGAAAGTTGACTGTTACTGCTTTATTCTGCCATTTACAGGTAGGTTACTGTTTCTTTGGCTCTTTTTAATTCACCAATTCCAGCATAACAGATTTTAATAATTTTTTTTTCCATTTTCAGGGGGCTACTGAGTGGCCTAGCTGTTATCATATTGCAGGTGATAACAATCCACAGGCTGTGAAAAGAGCAGCAAATAATATCTGTTCTTTGTTGAAGAAAAATCAGAATAAAGAAAGGTAAGAAGTGTACGTGGATTTGTGGCAAGCTGGTTGTATAAAGAAATCCCTTTCTTGTGGACTTGTTTCATTTTGTTTTTAATATATTCCTGTTTGACATAATACCATGGGTATTTTTTATTTGAAAAACCTTTTTGAAGTAATAAATCATGCCTGATATTGAATGCCTTTATTTGCAGTGGTACTTCCTGGGGCATACCCATCGATACCATTCAGTGGGATATCTGCAATCTCCCCTTGAGGACCAGCTCTGTGGATGTTATTGTAACAGACATGCCATTTGGAAAGAGGTGCAAATCATCATTTTGAAATAGTTTTTAAGGTTACTATATTTGACTGAACCATGCAGCAGCATTTCCTATTGCTACTATCACTAAAGGTCTGCTAGAATTTTCAGGCTCTCAGACTCTGCCATAATTCTTGTCAGTACTTTTATAGCCTTCGACAACTTCAAAACACTTCACAAATTCTGAAAATTCACTTTACTTTGAAACATGGTATACAATGTTTAATCCAAGCATTTCTAATTTTCAAACTAATCCGTGTAGCAGTTTTAAGATACAGATTACAAAAGCTTCTGCCAGTTTCATGGTGGCTTTTATATCATGGTGTTTTTGGAGGGTTTCATAGAACACCTTGACTCCTAATAAATATATTCAGGAAATATTGATAAAAGCCCTTATTTCATTAAAGTGCATACAGTTACAAGACATTCAGAATCACTTTTTAATTCAAATAATGTATTGGAACCTTCCATGAAATAGCGGCAACTTATGTATTGCAGTGATTTGTCTGAGAGCCAGACCTGCTTATTAATTCAAGGACCTAGATTTGGGAAGAGTGGTTGGGAGGGAGAGGATTGCAAGTCACTTGTACTTGCTAGATGTTTGTAACTTAACCATGTTGCTGTTGCTATAGCTTTTAGAGAAAGCTGCCTTACTACTAGAAAAGGCACTTGAGTGCTTTTTCTATGAGGTAATTTAATTACTTGATAAACTAACTGATGCAGTGGAGCATCAGTTTTACTTTTATTGGAAGTAAAGGTGGAAAGGAAAAGCAAAAATGATCAAACTAACCCATGCAAGAAAGACTAACTGAAAATGAACTGTTTTCAACTGCTCTGCAGCAGCCTGCTCACTGTACAAGTCGAAATTTTCGTTCTAGGATAGGATCTAAAAAGAAGAACTGGGATCTCTACCCAGCTTGCCTTTTGGAGATGAGTCGCATCTGCAGGCCTGGGACAGGGAGAGCTGTACTACTTACCCAAGACAGGAAATGTTTTGCCAAGGTATAGAATCACAGATTAGTTCTTAGGCGTTTTTTAATTATTTTTTTTTAATTCTTACAAACCCCCTCAAAGACAGAGAAAAGTCAACTTATGCATCAGGCCTAAAATTGTGTTCAAAATGAACTGATATTCAAATTTAAAATGTTCTTTCTAAACTAGATGCTAGACTCTCTTCTGCAGTAGTCACCTTACAGATTCACCTCCCTTTCTAAGGAATAGATTTCTGCTGTTTAAGTTTTAGAAGTGATTAGACCTAAATTACAAGGATGAACGTAATAAAAAACATGTAAAAGTCATGCTTCTGACAGTACACCTCTACCCCGATATAACGCGGACGGTAAAGCAGCACTCCGGGGGCCAGGGCTGTGCACTCCGGTGGATCAAAGCAAGTTCGATATAACGCTGGTTTCACCTATAACGCGGTAAGATTTTTTGGCTCCCGAGGACAGCGTTATATCGGGGTAGAGGTGTATATTGTCTGTATAGAAACTGTTGATACACCATGTCATCCAGGTCAAATCTGAATCATTACTACAAATTTAGAGAAATTTACCTTTCAAATTTGACTTCCTTTTCTATTGTCTTTCAGATTTCTAGGCATGTTACAAAAACTAAAAGCACACACATGCTAACTGAAATATCTTCAGACACTCTTGGGGAAAAAAATAATACACCCCACTATATCTCCCAGCTCCCTTAAAAAAATCAGCCCAATTCCAAAACTAACTGATTCTCTTCATATATTTGTCCTTTGCTCCTTCCACTCAAAAAGCCTAGGAAAACTGTCTTGCAGGTCACTGAAGCCTAATGGGTGAAGTGAATTACTAAAACATAACATATGGCACACTGTTCAACTGTGAATAGGTCAGAAAAGCAATTTAAGTGCAACTACTTACACATTCAGGATTCCCAAGCGTTGACCTGTACATCCCAAAAGTGAAGGAGAATATAATAAACTTACACACAAAATGATAATGAGAACATTAAGGTAGCAGAGTCAAGCACGTAAGTTAGGAAATATGGGAATTAAAATTGCTCGTGCAACCTTAATTCAACCCCCTTGCATATGTGCATTATGATAGTCTTGATGCACATCATATAGGAAGTCCATGGCAGAGCCAGGAATAGAACACAGCTTTTCTAGACCTGTATCTTAACACAAGAAAACTTGCTTTCTCTTCTTGCATGCTTCTACCTAATTCACTGTCCATCCTGTGTTCAGAAAGAGGCAAGGGTTCTGTACAAAAACAGTATGTGATCATATCAGAGTATCAGTGCACACACCCAAGGCACTAAATGAAGGTTGCATGGGCAACTTTAATTCTAGCATTTCCTAATTTTGCAACATTAATATTTTTACATTTCAAAGTTCCTGCTCCAATGCATGGAAAGTGCTAAAAGAAATGTTTGGCAGATTTTTTAACATTGGTGCAGCTATCACTTCCCCTAACCTCATTCTTGGAAATAGAATAATTTTCACTGAAGCTTTAAAAAAAAAAAAAAAAAAATCACTCAAGGAAGAATGAAAATTGCCTAGAAAATTTCAGCTTTCAATTATTAAAGTTTGGCAAAAATTAGTCTCTGAACACAGAGGCTCATAATGGAAATTGTTAGACAACCTTATTCATAGGCTTCAGCTCCACCTATACTAATTTTCACTTTTTTTTTTTCCATTGTAGGCCTTGTCAAAAATGGGACACTTGTGGCAAAAGGGTCATACAGTCTGGGTGAATGTAGGGGGACTTCATGCTGCAGTTTATCTTCTGAAACGTACCTTGGAAAGAGCAGGAGAGAAAAGATCATACTGGTAACCCACCTGTCAGCAAACATACCAAGCAGCATCCACTTGCCTGAATTTCTTGGAAAGCTGTTTGCTGAGTGTATGCCTTAGATTTCTGTTGAGAATACTGGTCCAAGGATCAGCTTGAAAAGCGTCATTTCCACTGTGTACTCTGGAACCTTTTTATTTTATTTGAAACCAAGTAGAAAAAAAGCAAATCCACCAACAGAATTACTAATTCTTTCCTGTGTATATGAATCTGCTTTACCATGTTTGTGACATTTTTCACTTAAATTTACATGTTTTCATATTCACACGGGAACTAGCAGGGTAACTTTGCAAAATGGTAGAATGTGTGTGAAGATCTTAAACTGCTGATGTATAAGACTACTGAAGACTGTCTTCTTGGCTGTCTTTAGTTAGAGGAGTTTTTTGGTAATAGTGTTGCTTTATGGAAAGATTTTTTTCCAATGGAGAGATGTCTCCTTTTTGTTTCATTAGTTAATAGCATTGCCAAAATGTAATAAGACTAACACAAAGTAGTGCCTCCATTTATGTTTTGCTAGAAATGGCATCTGCTTTGCACTACAGTACCTTGATACTGCTGCCTCTGTTCTCACCTGCTACCTCAACTAAGTGCTAATTCAGTAAATGTTTACGTATTATGTATCCCTGCTGTAGGTGGGGTAGAGAAATGTAAAAAGGGGCCTTAGCAAAGTGTTTGTTTAATTTAAAAAATTGTGAAATACTGTAGCACTCTTCATATACTACTGCATATTTCTTATGTTTGGGTGGACAGATTTAGACTAGAACATGATGGCTGAGATACATTTGAATTCAACAGGCTGACTAAAAGATGCTTTAGCTGTGCCACCACCTCAACGGGAATGTGGTAACAGTTGGAGGAATGCAAGCTCTAAAAGTGATTTTTTTGTCCCTACTGTAAATGTACAGTAAGTGTTTCTCAAGGCTGCCATCCCTCTTGTACTGGGGTAAAATGATAGTTACCAGTTTGTCAATCATCTTCTTCAAAGAGTTCATGCCATCCTTCACTGTTGAAAGTGTTTAAGGGTGGAAGAGTAAATATTCAAGTTCTAGATGTTTTGGATAAGAGTTAGGTTCTTTAGGATTTTCCTGTCTTAGTTACATTCATTCACCATTTCTTGTTCTGTAGTAGACTTTCATGCAGCCCTTAATACCTACTGAACAAGACTCTTCATATAGGAAATAAAGCACCACCAACATTACAATTCTAATAAAAAGGGTATTCTATCCCTCTATAATTCTTTTGCTCTTACAAGCATGTTTGTCCCATGGCAATGTAACATTCAGCCACAGGGCACAGATGTTTTGTTGTTCCTCAAAAGTTCTTTGTTGCACTGAGCTTTTATTTTATGATTTTACCTGAATATAATAAAAAGTCTTAACACAGATTAGCTTGCATTTGTTGTAGTTTTATTTGCTATCATTAGCTGTAACAAAGAACAAGCTTAAAGTAACTTTAAATATTTCAAATGCAGAAGATGCATTTTATCAGTTTTCTTAACAAAAGATTCAAATAAAATCAGTAACGTGCCACTCATCCCTTCTCTCCTAGACTGAACCATCAAGTGAGGATATTTTCTTGAAAATATACACACTAACACCTGAGGAGGAAAGCAGTCCTCACAGATTTGAGTCCAAGGATAGAAAACAGGCATTTTACAATATTTTAAATACATAATTATAAAAACAGTTGCCAATGAAAGTGAATCAATTTGTTTTAAGTAAACAAGTAACTGGAGGTGGGAATATACTTCGGATTCAATTAAGTTACATACACTAAAGCATGATTTTGTCATGTTTGAAAATGTAAAACAATCAACTAACAGTAAAAGAAATAAGTACAATTGAAAAGGTTAATTAAGGCAGTTTATTTTAAAAGTAAAACCCAGGGTGGCGACAACACATGATAGCAGCTTCTTTGCTGTTTTTTCAAGGCTGTCAGCCTGTTCGTTCATATAGACTATAGAATTCCACAACTTTGGATTCAACTTCTAAGTGTATAAAATAGTATTCTACTGCTTTTCACTACAGCAAATTCTGCATTTTTCATGCACTATTTTCTCCAGCAGCAAATATTCTGACCCTTTCCTGATTTCTCTCCCGGATGGAATAATCGCCTTTTTGTACAAAGGACACCACACAAGTCTAACTATGCTATTGTTAGCATCAGCAATAAACAGTGTCATTTATAATCCAATCAATCATACTTAATTGATGGTGCATACCATCAGGAGATAACAGCCGCAATGACACTCCCAGTCAGGGTGTATTAATTATCTAGAAGAAACTTACTTCATGCTCCTTCACCTGTTGATAAAGTTAGGTAGAAGAATGGTACAGATACCAATCATTCAAAAACAGATGATGTCTGTCAGAGGGCGTTAACATGAAGGAAAGAGCATTTTAATGATTTAAGAAATACAGGGAAAGACAGTTCCCTGAAAGTTTTCACCATTGTAGCCTACCCTAAAAATGAAGAAACTACAGGCTTGATTTAATAACACCGCCATCTTTCACAAGATTTTGGCGTCTGGAGATGGACCTTTTTGCCGCTTTAGTGGGTACTGACTGGTATCTTATAGCTTCACTGTTGACAGAAATTTGTGCACACGTCAGTTCTTACACCATGGGTAAAGCCCTTTACTCATATAGGAATGTTGAAGCAGTTTGCGTTTCAATTCAATCTGTTGAACTGTGCTCTTTAAAGCGGCTTTGCGAAAAATCTGCCATTGTATCTCCTGCTGCAGCTGTTCCTTTAGCTCTGCCTCACTGGGATAGGAACGTTCCTGTGGCAAAGACATTAGGCCCTAATCAAAATCTCTCAGGCACAATGCACGGTGAAAACCTCCTCCCCATCTTTCTTTATGAAAATGATTCATTTCCATTGAGTGTATAGTGAAAAAATTCGTATGAATTCACTAAATTCAACAAAAAAATTCAGATGAGACTTTGTGACTTGTAGTTGCGTGTCAGAAGCCAAACTTTAGAAGTCAAAACACTTATGAAAAACATTAAATATTCCACTAATGAGTATTTCAATCTGCATGTTCGATTGTAACAGTTATTTGTGTTGTTAGTTACATAAGCTAACCAATCAGGGTACCAAAAACAAGCCCACAAAACTTGTTATATAATGAGCTAACCACCAACAAGTTTGAGTGTTTGCCATGAGCTAGTCTGACAGCAAAAATGTTGTAGAAATTTGAACATCAAATAGGCAAAATTCACCAAATATGTAAATTGAATATTCTGTCATCTAATTTTTTTCCATTATAAATTTATATGCTGAAGGATCTATAAATAAGGTAAAGTTTTGCTCTGAAACAGTTTTCTTCAGTGAAACATTACAAGTTCTTAAATATATATAGCCCTATATGTAGGGTCCATATATAGATTTTGTATTTTACTATCACTGACCTCTAGTTTTGGCTGTTTTGAAATCAGCTTGTGACGTCATTGATATAATCTGGGACCATA